AAAATTATGGCAGCTTTAAGTAAAAAAAATTCAAAAAATGTCTAAAATTAGCATTTTTTAAATTTGTAATTTTTTTGGAGATTTTCCCCATTTACGGGAAACGAAGAAATTTTTTAAATTTTTGAGGATAATGTCTTCGACTGTATACAATTTGTGATCTTTTGACTTCTCGTTCAATAAAATCGGTTCGGCGAGAGCTGAGAAAAAGTGGTAACAGAGATACACAAAAAAAAATAAAACACATAGTAAAATTAATACCTTCTCAGCTTCACATCGAAGCTAAAAGGGTAAAAAATGTCAAAATTTACTGATTTTAAAAATCTTAATTTTTTGGGGGATTTTCATAATTAACGGGAAACGAGGAAAAAATGCTAATTTTTTGGGGTAATGTCTTCAACTAGATAAGAATTGTGATCTTTTGATGTATCGTTGAGAAAAATCGGTCTAGTGAGAGCTGAAAAAAAATAATGATTGACAAATAATAAAAAAAATAAATACATTAATCATCAAAGCAAAAATCTTATAACTTTTTCAACATTTTAAAATAAAAATGTTTAATTTTTTTCTGACAAAAAGTTTGATTGATCGATAAATCTTTTAGGGCTAGTACTTATTGAGTTACATGCATTTTAATACATAAAATGGATTCGAAATCGACGGAGTATGCATACACACACTATTAACTGCACACACTCTGCACGTATTGAAACTCAATTAGTACTTTTCCTAAAATTGTTATCCATCAATCAAAATTCTCTGTAAAAAAAATGCTAAAAAATTGTTATTATGAAATGTTGAAAAAATAAAAACAGCATTTAAATTTATTTTTTATTAGTGATAAAAAATAAAAATTATACTGTAAATGTTGTAATATGTATAAACTTAGACTTGGAGGCGCCTTAGCCATAGTATACTGTATGACATATAAATATTTTCAATTATATAAAAAATAATGACTTTTTTTTTAATCCTAGATTATGAATATTATACAAAATTTTAATAAAATTATTATTATATTAAAACTATTAAGCTCGAATGCCACAAAAAATTACTGAAAAGTCGCGGATACGTATTTCGAAAACAATCTTACCATTATCAACGCTAAACACATACTCAAAATATATAAAATATACTAAAAAAAAAAAAATGAAAGAATTTGATTTTTACATTGAATATCTTGATATATTTCATTACAAAAATATATGAAAAATATCTCAATTGTTAGCAGTTTTCTTTAAGTTTTAGTTTTAAATTAATTAATTTTTTTTAACTATTAATAACAATAAAATTGTTTCATTTTATACCGAGTATTCACACTGACTTATCATCATCATCTATTTAAGGAAATGTCTTGTCGTTGATGCCACTCTTCTCTGTTTAACGCCAAATTCTTTATTGAAACAAAAACATAGACATGGATAACACAAAATATTAAATTTTTTATTGGAAAATGATAACACATGGTGACATTATTCGTTATCTATCTCCAGCTGTATTTGAAAATAGTCCATGTTAATGTAAAAAAAAATTTTAGTGATAACAAAATCACACAAAATTGATCGTATCTCAAATTAATTTGATTTTAGGATATTTTCAAAATATTATTTTTTTGGGCGTCCACTTGATTTTTCTCTGTTATTTTTCCTTCGAAGATGTTGATTATACAACACTGGCACTCACACTGGCTAATAATTTTTTTATAAATTTATATTTCTTTGATATTCAAAATTTATTATTAATTTTGATTTATCTTAAGACGATTGATGTATCATTATGTCGATTACGGAAATTTTTTTTCAAGGAAGGTGTCATAATGGACTGATTCATATACCACTATCCAATTAAATAACAAATTCTCAATATTATTTTTATTTTTTTATTAATTAAATAATCAATGAAGTAAGAATCACTTTGTATATATGACTTATGTAATTATAATGAATGACTATTCTTAAAATAAAAATTGGTTGGTAATTGTAATATCATTATGTAATGATAATGATATTATAGTTTGCAATAGAAATATTTTTTAATTTTTTTTAATTATGTTACTAAGGTAAATTTTTTTTTTTTATATAATGGTTCATTAGGTATTTGAAAATATATTTTGTATGATGAAAATAAATCACTAAAAACGAAGTATGTCACCTGTTCAAAGAAAAGGTGACATAAACTCCTGATATCACAATTACATTCGCGTTTAATATCAGTTTTTGTTTAATCTTTTAAATAACTTATATTAAAGCATGAACTGAGATCTTAAACAAATAAAACACAATACACAATAAGTACCGGGTGCAGACTAAATCGTGTCGTAAGTGTCATAATGTTCTATAAAAATAGCCTTATATCATTTTTACGAGAATATTATTGGTAGCAAAGACATCATTTTTAGGACTGTCATAAAGTTGTTGTTCATAAATTATACATTTTATTTTTTTCAAATTTTGGTCTTATGTTGTTTATTTTATATTTGAACATAGCCAGATTACCATTTAAAGAACAAAATACAAGCTATTATATAGACTATTTCAAATAAATAAATTGGGATTTAGTATAATACACCATAGTTTATTTTACTTTATCTGTAGAAATCTTAATTAGTTTTATTACTTTATATTGATATATAATTTAAGGTTTTTTAGCTTCGATGCGAAGCTGAGGAGGTATAAATATTACTATTATGTGTTGTTCGGTCGTGACGAAACAGTTTGGTGGGTGAGCGCCGATTTTTCATTCTCTTCAACAAGAGCGCGACCTGTCACAACTGGTTTACTTGTTGGGGTAGTGTGTGGCGGTGGTCGCGAAGGTGTCATTCGCGTATCGGCATGCCTAGAGTGGTTTTGTGTATCACGGACTCTAGTGCGTTATTTTGTTGATTTTGTTTTCTTTGACGGTTTTATGTGTTCAATTCACTCTGTTGATTGCGTCGGGCTCAACTGCTTTACTTGACACATTCACTATCTTCTTTGGGTACAGAAAGCAAGGTCAGACTATACATTTTCTGTTTGTCAAAATATTAATTACAAAAAATTTATGTTGTTGTATTTTAGTATATTAGTTTTAAATATAAGTACTAACAATAGATTTAAGATAAACCATTGTTGTTACTGTATTAGAGAATACATATTAAATTAGATAAAAAAATTACAGTCCATTAAAAACGCTTTCTTTTAATTTTATCTAAAGGAACCTTTAGACGTGATTTCACTCGGCGATTGGTCGTCCGAGTATTTCGCGTCGCACATGTGTTTTTTTTTATTTATTTATTTTTTTGTGTTAATAGATCACAAATCGTATCTAGTCGAAGACATTACCCTCAAAAATTGAAAAATTTTCCCTCGTTCTCCGTAAATGGGGGAAATCTCCAAAAAAATTACAAATTTAAAAATCACTAATTTTTTCAATTTATTTTACTTAAAACTGTCATAACTTTTCCAGAATATAATTTTTTTTTTAATAAATGCAAAATGTCCTTACCTATCATTTTTAAAAATTAACTTTTTCAACTTAACTTTTGAAAGTGTTCCGGAAATACTGACACTTTTATATATATCTTAAATTAAAGCTAATGTAATATACTTTATTATGGAAAAAAAAAATTTTGGACTTTATTTTGTCTTCACGGTGAAAATGGCTACCGTATGCTATTTTTGTGTTAAAATTCTCGATCTTATATTTTACATTTTTAACTCTAAAATGCTCCAACTTTTTGAAAAATGTATGGATCAATACAATTTTTTTATGAGAAATAATATTTATATCCCTTGTTCATTCGACTTACTTTTTTTTAAATCAGACCATTTTCCTAAATACAGGGGGCGTTTAAATTTTAAAAATGCATATAGAAAGTAGAACTTTTTCAACTTAACTTTTGTAAGTGTTTCGGAAATACTGACACTTTTATATATATCTTAAATTAAAGCTAATGTAATATACTTTATTATAACAAAAAAAAAAATTTTTCATGATAAAAACAGACATCAAAGTTAATAAAAACAATACGATTTTTGTAAAAAAATTCTTTTTTATATTCTTAACTTTATAATGCTATAACTTTTTGAAAAATGTATGGATCATTATAATTTTTTTGTGATAAGTACTATTTATATTTATATATTATTAATATATATATATATATTTATTTATTCATATATTACACTTCTAAATCATACAACTTGTAATCAGAATATAAATAATGAAATAGGAGATCCTGTAGCTTTTGGAATAATCCATTAATTTTTTTAAATTAAACACTATCTACAGATTTGCATCTAAGCGTTTTTTAGGATAGTGATTTTAATCACTGTCAGATAAATTTTATATTTGTCCCAACTATGCCACATTCCAATTGCTCCTCGACCCCACTATACTACTGTATAGTGATTTGCATCGAAGCGTTTTTTATGATAGTGATTTTAATCATTGTCAGATATCTATGCTGGGTCCAACTATGCCATGACCCCACTGTGCTGGGTTTTATTTTTAAACTAAGGGCGTTATAAGAACATAATATAGGGAATAGATCTCCTATAATATGTGGAAATTAAAAATTTTTTTTTTTTGGATTTTTGTTATAAATGGTCTATAAAAAGTACTTATTTTAGCAGCACTTATTTTTTCTATCTGAAAAATTTATGAAAATAAATATTTTTCACCACTAGACCCTAGTTTGTAAAGCTTTTAGATTATTTCTTAAACTTTGTCTTACCTAGGATTATTTAAAATGATTTTATTTGTATGGTAAATATATTAATACCATTTATTTTTTATTTTAAATGATAGTAAAATTATTTAAAATTCATTGAACAGTAAATTTTAATCTGGTTATATATTTTAGTATATTGGACATTTAAGATATGTGGTAGAATACAATATATAAGTATACACATATTATTTCGTCTTGAATTTAAATTATTTTAAAAATTAATTTCTGTTTTATTTAATTGACGTGGAAAACTAAAAATTGTATTTAGTTAATATTACATCTTTGTTTTCAGGCATACCGCTTATTATAATGATAATATGGAGTATAGCCAAGATAATCTCACCAAGTGGAAACATGGTAAGTAATCTATTAAATATAAAAGATTAAACAATTGTAATTGTCTAGTTTAATAATTATTAAAATTTATATTATATTATATTTTACACAATTCCAACTATATTTTTTTCATTTGTTGTTTACACAATACTTTTTTAAAAGTATCTCATAGGTCATAAAAAAATAGCGTTATTAAAACCATATTAATTTTTATCTTAAATATAAAAGCTAGTATTAAAGTGATGTACACCACTTAAAATTGACTTATAATAATTAATTCAAATGACCCAAGAACTTTCTTACAAAAATATATAACTAAATTAATATTTTATAATAAAAATCTCTAAATTAATTAACCTAATTAAACTTATACAACTTATTTATATTAAATGTATTCCAAACAATAAAAATTGTAATTGCAATTTCACTTTCGATTTTTATCAATTTTGTTCTTTTGGAGCTAAAATTATTTTCTGTTATTCATTGTTCATTGATGATTTGATTGATTCCTATTGGATTTTTTTTATTACAAAACTATAGGGTAGAATATTTTATTGTATGATTATAATGTTACAAATCGTTGAATTGAAATTGCTCAAATACTTTAAAAATTTTAAGGATTGTTGTGGTTTTCTCGAACAATTATTGTTTTTTTTTCACATTTGTTTCAGTTTAAAAAACACCTGCGATATGATACCGAAAATAAATTTATATTCAATTCCATTTACCCTGTTTCATAATATGTATTCATGTATACATATAGTTTAGCTTTCTTACACTAAAAAAAAATAACCAAAACTTTTATTATTTTATAGGATAATGCTCGTTGTAAATGGATAGACCCACACCCTGTACACGATTGGATTTATCAAATCCCAGCCATATTGGTGTTAATAGTAAACCTGATATTCCTTTCATGCATAATGTGGGTAAGTTACATAAAATTCATTTTAAATGTATATATTAATTTAATATGTTTATTGTAAAATTATGCATCAGTGGTGGTATATTTATATTAACATCCAGTATTCACATTTGTTTTTTAATACTTTATTTGGTGAAGGATCATTAAACTGAAAAGTGGCATTGTATATTTTTTGTTCAGAGGTCGTTTTACTCTGAATAAATATCATTTAATGTATTTTTAGGTTCTTATAACGAAGTTACGATCAGCAAATTCGGCAGAAACACAACAATTTCGAAGAGCCAGCAAAGCTTTATTAATTCTTATTCCCTTGCTAGGCGTCACGTATATTTTAACTATGTGTGGACCCAGTGGAAATAACATATATGCCAATTTTTACATTTATGGACGAGCGTTGCTTTTATCTATGCAAGTAAGGAATTCATTTTATGAAATATGTAGTAATAATTTTATTATAAAAAAAAAAAAAAAAATGAAATAACTCATTTATAAATCATTCTTAATTTTCATTGATTTTACATTTCTATCCCGGTGACAGTCGTATATGGTTGCAGAAGCTTTAAATACTTTCTTTCTACTTTTGAAGGCTAGAAGACCGATAAATACGACTTGTTGAATAGAATTTCAGGGAGATAGAAGAAGATACCGCGGATACTTCTTACTCTTCAATATTTAACCATGTAGAATAATACAGTAAATTTGATTAACTGAAACTTCTTAAATTTAAAATAACCCCAATTTTTTAGTCAATCTCTAAAAATGTCTATATTAATAATGATATAAATAATCTATATAATTGTGTATATTATTTGAAAGTTTAAAAAAGAAAATCATAAATTCATTCATGTAATTTAAATATCGGAAATACCATGAATTGATAGGACAATAGTGAAAGTTAATATAGGGAATGTTATTATTTTTAGTAATATGATACAAACATTTTTCAAGTTATTACTTACTAGAATTTGTCGGTCATTTAAACAATCTTTATATTTTTATCTAGTTGAAAATTTAATGATATGAACAAATTATTTTAGGGATTCATTGTCGCAATATTCTATTGTTTTGTCAATTCAGAGGTCAAAAACACGTTAAAACATCACTTTATTCGTTGGAATGATGCTAGAAATTTAAGAACGAATGGTAGCCGAAGATTTACTTACTCCAAGGATTGGTCACCAAATACAAGGTCTGAAAGTGTCAGGTATGCTAATTTGTTTTTATTAACCTCAGATGTTTTATAAAAAATTATTCGCTATGTGATATTGTTATAAAATTTTATTATAATTTACTATTTTCAATTGGATTTTATTATTTTAAACTGAGATAATACGATTTGTTTAGTATTTAATTTTATAAAAGAATGTTTGGTTTTTAAAAAAAATTCTCTTCACTATTTTGAAACAAAAAATGATTTAATTTTCAGCGTGTTATTTTATATTTAGAAATTTATTCTTCCTTAAGTTTTTGAATGTAAAGAATATTTAAAAAATATATATAATTGTGCAACAAAGCAATAATTTATTGTCTGTTTGTGAATTAGAAACTATTTAAAATAGAAACTTCGTTTTAAAAAATGTTTTGTTTTTTAATAATGGTTAACAATTTTGTTTTTGAATAAATATGCAAGATAGTAAATAAATTTTTCCCTAAATGTTCACTTGTATTTGAGGAGATAGTATTAACAATTAACTTCATAGTATTAGCATTGTAACCAATTTTTAATATTATGACATTTAAAGTAATATAAATGATCTTAAAATTAACAATAGTCATTACTAAATGTCTTATTGGTCAATTTTTTATCTAGTTGTATGACATAAAAACTTATTCATTCCTTCTTTTATCTGATAAATTACGATGATTTTTCAATTAAATCACTACTCCTTATCGACACTTATATTTTCAAATTCATAATATAATAATATAAAATCATAATTAAATTTATTAATAATTCGGGAGTAAGCATTTTAACAAGGTTAAAAATGAGATTTTCATAAACTTTTAGTATATGTCATTTTTTAACAATTTTTTTTTTCATGAAAACACAAATTATTTCTGAGTTGTATTAGTAAAAAAAAAAAAGGCGCGTTCAGTTGATAATGAGATTAATTGCAGACAATCTGAAAAATACTTTCAAGGATATGGAGAGGTTTTGATTTTGTTATAGTAAATATTTAAAAAATTCTATGTAGTAATTATATTTTTATAAGCTAATATAAAATGATTGTTAAGTGTGCACGAAATCTAAAAAATTGAGAGTAAAAACTTATCTGACAACATATATACACTAAAATATTAATATTGTATAAAATGTTATACAGTATTTATAAAATATTTATATTCCAAGTATAATGTTAATATTCTTCCAAGATATTATTTCTATAAAGTGTCATCACATTTCATATTTGTTTATATAATAAATGTCGTCATTGTCGTGTAATTTTTATCGGTAGCCGTAATGTCGCCAGATTTTATAATTGAGTAGTAGTATCCCTTTGTACAGCGCACCCATCGCTTGTGTGAAATAAACGTACAACTAATTTCGTACTTAGCATCCTTTTTTTATTTATCTTTAATAAATCTTAGTTATTTAATAAAAGTTTAACCCCGAACGATAAAAAAAATAGTACATAACGAATTTTGTATTTAAATTTCTAATATATGTTTAACAATAAAAACAATTTATAGTATACGTAGAGAGTATATGTGTAGCGTCAATTGTGGATAAGATGAGAGAAAATAGACTTAGATGGTTTGGTCATGTTATGAGGAGAGAGAAATCGAAAGCTATAAAAACAGTTATAGAAATTAATGATGAAGGAAGAAGAGGTAGAGAAAGACCAAAAAAGAGATGGAGGGATGTTATTGAATATGATGACGGATAATGTGTGCGTAGATGGTATGGGAGATTGTGCCAAGTTGAAGTTCAGGATAAGAGTTGCCGACACCATATAGTTGGGATGTTGAAAACAAGAAGTTATAATTATTGCTAACAAAAAATTTAAGAATTTTTCTTTCGTTTAATATTTGAATTAATGTACCAGTGGATGTACTTAAGCGTGGACACAATAGTAAGACGTATAATACATTTTTTTGTTTTATTTAAATTATTTAAATTTAATCCAATCAATTGAAAATGTGTCAAAATGTTTATATAATATTTAAGAAAAAGTTGACCGTTTAAAGAGAGTATAACAATTGAATAATCTGAGCAAAGATAAAATATATTATGTAAATAGGTTTGGAGTCTAATTAATAAATATATCTGATATAGTAGGCATTTTATTACGTGAGGCTGGTCAGTAAGTGTATTTAGGACGAACTAAAACGTTAATATTAGGAGAATTTGAGAGTGTTTGAGTTAGTGTCAAAAATTGGCTCCAAGGATTAACGGTGCAACAATCACACTAGATATGTTTAGCGTTATCAATATCATCCAGAATAAAGTTATATCCTTTGTTAAAAAAAAATTCTGTAAATTGAATATTTGTTATACTATAACTATCAGGTATTTTTAAAATAATAAAAAGTAAATATAATTTTTTATTTTCTTTCATAATGAGAAAAAAAATACTTTCTTTTTCAAATAAATATTTATATTATTTTTTATATATACACTTGTATTTATATTCAGAGTGTTTTCTTGATTTAAATATTGTTCGGTAGAGAACGCCTTTAGAAAAGAACTAGTGGACTACTAGTTGTCATAAATACCGTTGATTATATTATATCGTGGACAGCTAATCTCTAGCGTCATGCTTCACTCACCCATTTGTCCACCCAGCACGACAAATCAATGACCTCCGTGTCAATTGTCATCCGTGTATAGTTCATTGTCGTAATTTAGCGAGTCAATTGTTGTATGTGTCATTGTATTTTTTTTATAACAAGCGCCTTCGCTGGAATGGTAAATTGTTCGCCCGTTGTACGCCATAGTTTTTATTATTTTTTTATTGCACCCTTGTGCTCAAAGTTCTCGTGCCCTTGCGCGCCTTCAGTGATTGGGCCCTGACCATCACTAAGTAACTTCACTGCCGTAGTCGCTTTTCCGTCGTCTGTTTTCGTCCACTATTACGTGCCTGGATCTACACTCTGACTCGTGATACTCAGATGTTCGACACCATCACCACAAGATCTCATACAGTCCACTCATCACTATCAACAACTTCATTTATTCTGTTGAGTTTTATATTATTCTTTAATGTTATTTATTATTTGTATTTAACTACTTTATGTATGCCGCTTCACTGGCCATTAGTATTTAAGGGCCCCCCGCTACCCTTTAAATTTAAGATACTCATTGAAGAACCTTTAATATATGTGGTTATTTGTTATTTAATTATGCTCTCGATACTTATTTGATGTGTGGTTAGCCGTCATCCTCCCAGGTGACACTTCTTCCACTTCAGTTATAGCGATTTAAACAGGTTTGAGGTAAAACGGTATTCTAGTGTGACCTAGCCGTCTTACGGTCTAGCTGCCACTTTTGAAACAAATATTGTTCACCAAGGTTACCGTAAAATATACTAATCATAGATGAAAATATTTTTTATGCTGATCATGAAACTTGATTTTCTTATTATTAAATGCTAATGCTGACCTTTATTTAAAATATGATGGATTACATATTCTGACAATGTAGGATTTTTATTTAATGATTTGGTATTACGCGTTTTATATAAACCCATTAATAATACTTATTTATAATAATTTACATTTACTTAATTATCTTGAGCTATAATATTTGTATGTTAGTATCAAAAATATTATGCGAGTTATGTTATTTCGGATAATCATCGTCGATCAACGTGGCCAGACTAGATCTTTTTCATAAAATATGCGTTTCACGTTTTCTCTTTCACTGAAACTTTGTTTTCATTACATTGTCGATAGTGGAGGTCTATAACATTTTGGTTAAAATCTCTCTATATATTTTTTTAAATAAATATATCTGAATTTTCACATACATATATTGGAAGTTTCATGATACAAATTGATGAACACATAGAACATAATGTAAAATTTGGATGAATAATGATAAAAATGTTATGTTTTTATACGAATTTTCCATATTTTTTGTCTAAATTATTTTACTTTGCTGTAAAATTAACGTTTATATTAAAATATTATACTAACATATTATAATTATTAAATAATTTCTAACAGTAGCCTCGTATACAGTACTATAAACATATTCATTCTCGGAGTAGGATCACAGATAGCTTATTTTGTACAGCACAATTAAAAATTTGGAAGTTTAGTTTAAACTAGGGTCGACAATTAATTTATAAAATAGTTAAATAATTTTTAATGTTACTATTTATTTACTGACAAGCATTGCCAATTAATAAAGGTTTGTCAAATTTTCTGATAACTTGTCATATTTTATTTTTTATGAATTAGATGATTTCAATATTTTGACTTTTATAATAACTTGAATAATATAGATTTTTTTTATCGAACAATTTGGTATGATAAAAGTAATAATAAAAATCCTATTATGAAACAAATGATTAATGAAAAGTTATTAAATAAACATGATACAAATTTATGTTAATATTAAAATACTTAAAGTGATATTAAATAACTCTAATAAGCTTAGAATATATATATATATATATATTTTTATCAACGTGTAATTTTTAATGAATAAAAAGTATAGTGTAATAAATATTTGTAAAATAATGTTATAATTAGCTATAGTTTGTTCTTTTTATTTTATTTTATTATATTAGTTTTTATGATATTCAAGCTGCATAATTCTTTTTTGTTATAAAACCTAGAAGTTGTGATATTTAAAAAGGTGCTCTTTAAATTTACTGTGTATTATTCTGCTGAGTGTTAACATAAACATTATTATTGTGTTAACATCAAAAAAATTATTATAATTTAAAAAGAAATGTTATTATATAAGAAATATGAAGTGATACTTACTCAGTGTAAAATTCAAAATTACACCAACAATTAATAAAATGTATACAGGGCATTTATTTGATTAGGGTGTAATAAAATTCATATTATTTTTAAACCATCTAATGAAGACTATTGAAATTGGAACCTTTAAAAAAAAAATTCGTATAGTTGTTAATTATTCTAATTTATTTATTTTGCACTATAGTTCAAAATTTTTTAAAACCTAGTTTCACTCGGTTTTAAAATTTTGGGTTATTTGAGTTCAGAATGCAATACTCTAAAAATTATTTTTATTACAACATCGAAGTTTTTTATTGAATCGGAAACAATCTACTTAGTAAATTATTAAACAAAAATAATGAAAAAAGATGAAAAACTTTATTTTCCATCTTCTATGTATGTATATATATATATAAAGTTGAAAAAAAGCCTCCGTCTTATTTGTTACACATGCCAATTTGCGGTCAAATAATAAATTGTTTGAATCTATATACGTGAATTATTTTCAATTAAACATTTATCAAAACTAAAATTAAGTTTTCCTTTCCTAGTAGTCAAATGTATTAAGGTATTCGCTATTTAAGTTCTTTGCTTATTGCAAAACTATGTATGATTGAAATTGCATCAATTCTTATATTTCTGTAAAATTTGTATTTTTCTCTCTGTCTTGAGTTTGTAATAAAAAAATTAATTGACTCAATATTGTTCCAGAGTATCATGGTGTTTTATTATAGAAGTCTGTAATATCTCATATTGTGCAAGTCATGTTGATGTTTTATAAACACGTGTCATGAATTAAAACAAACATTTTATTCTCTAGATAACAATTTTTTACGCTACACTTTAAAACTATTCAGCAATTTTTTTTATATTTCAATGTAAATTAATGTAAAATAATAACAGTTTATAGTGCATAACTTTTTATAACATTGTTTTAAGATAATATATTGATTTCGAAAATAATTTGAGCTAATTGATAGTTTAAATACTTTAACTAAAAACTTTAAATAAATACTTTCGACCATTTTCAAATTTTTAAGTTATGAATTGAGTTTGTAACTTTGCTAACTTTTTAAAAGTACATTTAAAATTATAAAAACTCAAATTTAAATTGTAAATTTAAAATTAATTTTCAAAAATTTACTATGAAGTGTATTTTTAATAAGTTTATGGTCAATATTTAGTCAAACAAAGTATTATCTAGCGAGGGAAGAATTATACTTTTGGCCCGACTAAGACGGCGCTTAATATAGGCAAATTTGACACGTACTTGTATTGATAAATATTTTTTATATAGTTTTGCAAATTAGTTTTTTTGTGTTATGATCTCAGTAAAAATTATACATAAGCATAATTATTATTTAAGTGTTTACAATTAAAATAAAATGTATATTATATAATTATAATTATGAACCATTTTTTCAATTCTAAATAAAATATTTAATGATGGATAACGTACATGTATATTTGCGACAACAGTTTTATTTATTATGAATATTAAATGCATTGATTACATGATTAAATACAATTATATTTTAAGACTGATGTTTTAGCTGTTTTCAAAGGTGATGAGATATCTTAATAACATTCCATTTTAATGTTTTAGGCCCAGTGTTCATATAGGCGAAGAGAAACCGCCGGAAGCGCCTAAAGTATAAGGTAGGCTCCCCTAAGTGAATAAATTTTTGCTATAGCGCTTTGTAAAACATATAATAGACAGCTTAATATTATATTGTATTTATTTTCTTATCGCATTTTGAATGAGATCCATTAGACAGTATGTTAAAAATTGGTATAGATTTATTAAATCGAATGTTGCTAGTATTTAAAGTTTAATTTGTTCGATAGCGTAAAAATTTTTAGTAAAAATTAATTGTGTGTATTAGTCGTAAATATTACTTAGGTAATAAATTCATTGAGAGGGTGATTTATTTTTAATGCACACTAATACACATAGATATAAATTTGCTATTGATTATTTAAAAGTGTTAGAGTGGAAAAAATTGACGTCATATAAATCATTTTGACCGATACAACAATGGCATAAAGCAAAATGAAAAATTATTTTTTGATGAACATTATAAAAAAAAATGGAAAGAAAGTATTTTTTATATTTTACCGTAATAGTCTCTTTTTTAGAATTCCAAAGAGTTATAAATAGACTAAAGCGGCCAAGTATTTATATAGTCCAAATATTATAGTTCATAATACATATTTTACACAATAAAAGGGTATTGTTACACAATTTAGCTAAAGAATTCAAGATATTTTATTGACATCATACTACATTTGAATAGTAAATTTTGCTATAGGACGTTGGAATTCAACAACTATTCGATATTTGAAAGAATTTGTTGTAGATAAATTCTTACGTTATCCTATGAACATGATTATGTGTTTGAAGTATCTTCGATAAGATCTTAGAGCGAAATGAACATCCTTGTGCTTGTGTTTTAATTAGCCTCACTTGTTTGTATAAAATCTTAAAAACAGTTTTCATCAACTCAATTTGTTGCTAAACATGGTTATTTTTATCATTTAACGAGAAATCAATTTTCTCGATTGTTTGAAGCTAATATTAGTGAAAATATTTATGAGTTTCCATTTATTAAAGTTGTGCATAATAACATTTTTTACGTTATATTATCATCATTATTATTATTTTTTAAATTGTCATTAATAATGATTAACAAACGAACGTTTCTAACTTATATTTGCATTGAATGTTGGGTATGTTGCAGATTAACTCGACCATCGATTGTAGCAGATTCAGTGTTGGGCAAAGGAAAGAGAGCCTCGACTGTTAGCAGCTCTACTACAATGACATTTATTGTATCTAACGGACCAATCGGTTCTGTGGCTTTGACTAACGTCGGCCAAAACCGCACGTTGCATCCACCGTCAGAAAATCCTGTTTAAATATTGGCTATTAATGACTGCAACCGTATTTATTACAGATTACTGTACTTGTCAATTGCGTCCTACAGTGTTTTAATGTGTGATTAATTTCATGCTACACATTATTATGCTGCATACCGTTCCATTTATGTTATACCTATTTAGAAGGTAAGTAATTGTATTTATCGTGTATTAATAGTATAAGGTACACAGTGTGTTCCGTTCATCAACAGCCACTCAATGACTCATAATATAAATACAACGTTAAAAAAAAATTTTTGTTTTTTATTATTTATTATATATTATTAATATATTAGCTATTAATTACTTTTTTGTATGATCTATTTATACTTATAGGGGCGTTAACTTATTTTTTTTATGGAAAAATACATATTTAACTAGCTTATATAATTATCTAAAAAAATGGCGGGACGATAACATATTTTGAACCAGCATGAAAATTATTAACATTTTTATTTGTAGGCGGGAATAGACTAGAAAAGTCTAATAATAAAATAGTCATACCAGCAGCTCTTCCGATTCTATATTTTTAAAATACCAGAACTTCTAAAGTATTGGTCCAAAAGTTGTCATTTTTTTTATTAAATCATTTCCTATTTTATAAATTAAGTAAATATACAGAGTAATTTTTTTAATGCTAGCCACTCATTTCTCTTAAAATTTTGGAAAATGTTTGGTTTTTGTTAGTTACATACGTAATTCCATTTTTGGTTATAAAACAATTGTTTCCATTCCTTATATCTTATAAGGTTATCAACTTTATTTTTTTATATAGCAATAGACATATTTAAAGTTTATAAAATAGAAAATGATCTAATTAAGTAAATTACTGGTCGATAAAATCTTTTGGATCAGAACTTTAGAAGTCATTCTCATTTTAATACCTTGGCCGGAGGACTTTAAATTGTTTATTAGATCATTTTATATTTTTTAACATATAAATGAATACATATGTAACTAACTAAAACAGAAAAAATTTTTTCAAAAAACTTAATATTTTAAGAACATTTATGTGGCTAGCGTTAAAAGAATCACTCTGTATATGTCGCATTTATAAAAAGAAAGTTGATATCTATATGAATTATAAAAATAATACTTAAAAGTAATCAATAGCTAATAAATCAAGTAATACATGTAGCTAAAAAATTAAATTTGTTTTTTTAATTTTGTATTAATTGTGGGAGTAATTAGGTAGTTTCTGATAAACGGATTATTCTGTAGTTTATTAGAATCATAAATTATTTGTCAAAAATAAATATGCTATAGTATAAGTGAATTTTTTTATAAATTTCATTAAATAATTTTACTGTATCATAGTTAAATAGAGCCAAAGAAGTATTATATTTTACAACATGAATTACACATTATGTTAGTTTTTTTTAAGCTATTCATTAAATTATACATTTTGTTTGAAACATTTTTTTCAATCAATCGAGTTATATTTCGTATCTCAGTCCTACAAACACTATTTTTCTTAATTATCCTTTGTCAATATGCGCATTTAAATTATCCACATAATATATATCTCATAATAATTAAAATTTGACAAGTCATTCAGTTTTTTTATCATGAATATAGTTAAAACTAATGATGGGAAATATCGAATAGTAACTATCGAACTATTCGATAGTGGTTCACTATTCAAACTAATCGATAGTCTTTCAAAAACTATTTGAATAGTAAAAATATTCTATAGTTACACAATATCTTTGAATAGCTTATGTTAAAAATAAACTATTCAGTTGTATAAAAACAATTCGAATTGTTATTCGATAATTTAAAATATTCGAAAATGCCCATCACTAGTTAAAACAAACTAATCTGAAATAGCCAGCACTCTTATTAATATGAAAATAAGTTCATAAAGCAGTTGTTTTAAAAATAATTAATAAAAACATAAGATTCCATGAATTTAACTTAAATTTAAAAGGAAATAATAATTTTGTTATCCAAGGGAATTAAAAATGTTAAAAATTATTTTTAGTTATGTAGGCAATCAATATACGTTTCTTTTACTAATTTGAAAGTATCACATTTTGATTATGGTAAAGGGTTAGAAATAAACTTAACTAAAATGTTTAATGATTCCAAAATAAATTAAAAAATTTTTTTTTAATAATTTACCTTTAATAAACGTTAATTTTTATAAATACATACTTTATACATTTTAGTGTACAAATAAAAACTGAAAATTTTAATACAAACTAATGAACTGTAAAAATACTTGTTTTGACCAATCTTAAACTTAATTTGTTATCAATGTAAATGTTTTGATTGTTCTTTATACCCATCATACAAAGATTTATTTTTTTATCAATGTCTTTTTATAATTTTCTTTTATATTCCACTGTGGCTTAAAAATGTTATTTTGTATATTTTGCTAAGATTAATAAATTTTAGTTTAGATTTTGTTATTGTTATTTGTGTTTGAATTAACTTGATAACTTTTAAATATAACTAATTTTCTATACAGACATATTCTAAATGAAATAAAGATGTTAATTAATTTCAAATAATATTTTAATTAATTATAATTACGATTATTATTGAACAATAATATGCAATACATACAGAATACAATTAGTTATAAGAATATATTAATTTCTTTTATCTTTGTTATATTTTAAAGCATAAGTGTTAAAATGTACAAACTATCGCATATTCCTGCAAATAAAATTTTAACTTAAAAGTAAATTGTATTTACAAAATGTTATATGAATTATAATTATCTGTGTGTGAAATCAAAATTATAATTAATGAACAAATAAAAGTATTTGCATCAAAATATGTGTTTGATTTTATAATTTTTCTCTAGATTCAAATTTTGGAAACTAAAAATGTACACAATTATATATTTTTTATTTTTAATAAAACTGAACCTGTGCTCATGAAGAATCTAAGTGAAATTATTATTTTAAGGGAAATATCAAGTCCATTAATATAGCCTACTGATTTGGACAATTATAATAGGTAAAAAAGGCCAATTTGGCTGTTTGCGGTAAGTTAGGAGAGCTATTATTCTCTTATCCCTTCCTTTTACTTTTGTTTTTAAGGTTATATCTTTAATGTTTATCACTATTTCTATTTCAATTGCAATGATCATTATCTTTTCGTTAATATTTTATTTTTTTTATTTTAAACGTAAAGTTTTATTTCTTATCAAAGATAATATCAATAAAAATATTAATGATTTAAAATTATGTAGTCTCGTTTTAATTAATTAAATATAGGCATGAATTGAAAAAAGCTTGAAATCTAGTTTCTTAAAAATTTTATATCTTACCTAAAAGATCAAAAACTTATAAATTGCTTTTTAACAATGCTGATTTTGGTGTCTAATAATTTCTAAAAAAATTCTTGAAATTGTTCTTGTAATAGATTATTAGTAAATTACTAATTGTATAGTAAATTTTAAACCTGATCACTCTTGTTTATACATTTTTATTAAATATTTGAAATGGGACGACCCATTGTTACTCCCTTATTTTAAATAAAATAGTTGATCAAGTTAGAAATATGTATTATTTGGTAAAACTAATGTTTGTATACTTGGATCTTCATCTATTATGAACAATATTATAGAAAATTATAAACTCTGACAAAGTGAAACTTCTTATAAATCGATTGATAATAGAATAGAACATATGTTTTGATATTTTGAAGTTATCTTAAAATTTAATTAATTTTTTTTAAGAAAGCATTGAGTGTGTACGATCTTACATTCAAATATTATTAATCGAATATTTTTAAAGAAATGTAAAACGCTCATTTTGATTTAATAATGTTAACGTATTTATAATCAAATTATCAAGATCAAAGAGTCAAATTTTTGATATGAACTTTAACTTAGCAAAAATTAATTATATTATTAAATTTAGCTATAGTGCTACATTAAACTAATAGTAATTGACAATAGGATTAATATTTATTCACTCAAGAATGTACTTTTGTTTTCTAACTAAAATAGACTTTCTATTTTATCCGATTTACTCTTTGTTTTCATTTTATGTTAATTAAAATGTGGAAACCCGTTCTTTAATTTTAACGTGCAATTCGAATTCAGAACACAAACTCAGACATATTACGTAGTATTCGCATTGTATTTTTAATGCGAAAACCTTTTTGCCTTTATATGCTTAATCTCTCTTTATTATTATAATTTTACGGTTTTCGAGTTACACACTGTATGTTATAGTACTAGTTTTTACAATACACATATCTCTTTATACGTATATTTGTGAAGTAATAACTAAATTCAACATTTTATTTAAGGGTCTATTATGTATTACGATAGATTTTATTTATTTACTAGCAAAAAGCAGACCTATCCAAGTTTTTGATAACCTGTGCATTTTAAATGCTCATCGTTATTGCATGTACCGAGAGTTATATGTACATTACCTTTAATAGTATTGTATTTATTACACTTTTACACAAACGTTCCTCTAACTGGGTCGTGACGACAAATTGAATCAATTTCGTTTGAATATAATTTACAACGCACAAAGCTTGACATACGTTTAAAAGATACATAGTGGGAGTTGTTTCCCGTTAAATAAATTCTCTTAGAAATCTGCATTATTGTGAGGGCGCAGTAGTTAATGCGTTTATACGTTTAAAATCACTATTATATAGTCGTACAAATGGAAATTAGATGCAGTATTGTTAAAGAACATGTTCGAAAAGGATTTCATGGAATCGATTTTTTTTTTTTGGAAGAGGATGAAGGAGTTCTATTACATATAATTGGAATCAGAAGATGAAATAATTAATTATTTTTAGGAATTGAAATCAAATATTATAAATAAATTTCATGTAAGATGGTTTCGCCGTGACAACAATGATTAGAAGTAACTTTATAATTTTTAGAGATTTCAACCAAATTGCATAAATGAAAATTTCATTTAAATTTATACATATATATTTATAATAAAAAGTAAAAATATATTTAACTTATTAAATTGACCAAAAAATTAATTAATAATAAAATAAGTCATGCAATCAAAGTTAATATAATTGGTGATGCAATAATATGCTGTAAATTTCCTATAAATAGATATTGCAGTACATCGCTTGAATCGCACAACGTTAAAATTTAATATCTACTACATGCAGAGTGATTTATTAATAACGATCACGTTTATTGATATAGGTTATTTTTGCTTTTATGTTACGTTTTAACTAAATTATTTGTTTTTTATTCACAACGCTTTCTTGCCTTGAAAAAAATTCATTCCATCCTTTTCCCCTGACGTGGGATAAGTTGACATACCTTAGTTTATTGAGGTTATGCTCAAATGTATTTTTCAAGTTATATTATTATTACCCAATTAATAGAGAGTCACCTCCTGCCCCAATATGTAATATATAACATTATATGTTTGATATGTTATACAATTTTTAAATTGGTCTACCAAGTATTTAAAATATATATGTTTTGTACGAGGCAGCTAGACCGTAGGACGGCTAGTTATGCTCCGCACTAGAATATCGTTTTACCTCAAGCCTGTTAAATCGCTATTATTGAAGCGGAAATGGGTCACCTGAGGGATGACCCATTAAATACTAATGGCCGGCGAAGCAGCAAAAAACAAAATAGTAATACTCAATTAAAACAAACATTAAAAAATAATATAAAACTCGAATAGTGATGACTGGACTGTATGAGATCTTGTGGTGATGGTGTCGAACATCTGAGTATCACGAGTCAGAGTGTAGATCCAGGCACGTAATATTGGACGAAAACAGACGACGGAAAAGCGACTACGGCAGTGAAGTTACTTAGTGATGGTCAGGGCCCAATCACTGAAGGCGCGCAAGGGCACGAGAACTTTGAGCACAAGGGTGCAATAAAAAATAATAAAAACTATGGCGTACAACGGGCGAACAATTTACCATTCAAGCGAAGGCGCTTGCTATAAAAAAAAAACAATGACACATACAACAATTGACTCGCTAACTTACGACAATGAACTATACACGGATGACAATTGACACGGAGGTCATTGATTTGTCGTTCTGGGTGGACAAATGGGTGAGTGAAGCAAGACGCTGGAAATTAGCTGTCCACGATATAATATAATCAACGGTGTTTATGACAACTGGTCCACTAGTTCTATGCTAAAGGCGTTCTGTACCAAACATTATATATGGAGAGTGTAAACATATTTCAAATAGGAAATCGTTCTGATGACCACCTAAGAAATGCTTCTAGATAATTAACAGGTTTATTTTTTATGATAACAGCAAACTGTTTTAGAAATAGACATTGCGTAAACAAATAACAAAAATAAAACAATTTTCTTGATTCCATTATTATTCAAAAATTTTCTTTAATACTCCACTAATTTTAAGACATCATTTTAAATTATTTTTATTCGTAATGTTTTTCTTTAGCTATTGCAGAAAAAAAATAATTACGGTCAAAGTAAAACATTATGTCATAAAACAATAATATATCAATTTTGCAAGGTATAAATGCTGCAGTTTAGAACAATCGTTCATTAGATTTATTTTCGAAAAATTTGTCATTATTTGGTTAATATATTTTTAAACATTTCCAAACAAGTTTGAGATCATTACTAAATGTTTTTAAATCCAAGAAGATCATCTTGCCTAAAGCATCAAATTATTACACCGTTTTCCCCCAAATATAAAACTCATGTAAAACAGAGAAACATTTTTCCAAAAAAATTAATTTAGTCATGAGAAAAAGAATATTTGCTTTCGCCTCGTTTTTGTATTTTATGTGTTGTATGTGTTGCTAGTATTTGCATTTTTCATTCATGTGTATGAAATATTTATTAAGTAATATTTTTCCACTGTCATTTACTGTATCATTGTAATCATTAGGTCTGTAGGAGGTATGTATAATACATTTTATATCATACTATAATAGCAAATAATAATTACTATTTTAAATAATTAACATTATAAAACGTCGAATAAATTATTTTAACAACACCTTTCACAGTTTAGAACCTTTCTTGTAAATAACATGAATTTGATAATTTTAAAATAATACTTATAGTATTATATTATTGTGATGATATAGCTGTTTTGTTTTATAAATATACATAGTGTGTTTTTTTTTACAAAAGCTGATAATTTATAAATGTGTAGATTTATTATTATTCCGTCCTTGTAAAAA